GATGGGGACAGAGTAGCCAGTCAGCAAGGTACACACGGGTAGTATAAACACTTTCACATGTTTTTCAGCACAGATGTGAAACTGTTCAATATAGATCAGCAAGTAAGCACAAGGATGCCTGTGTGTACCTTGGGTAATCCTCCACTGCTGCTAGAAGACTGATGCACGATAGACACTCAATAAACACGTGATGAAGGAAAGAAGAGATGCATCCAGGTGAAACCTGGGATGTCTGCATGTGGCACCCGTGAGTGGGGACATGCTATGTGTGTGTGTGTGTCTGTCTGTGTGTCCACGTGTGTCGTGTCAGAGTGTCTGTCTGTCTGTCTGGGGTTGAGGACAGGCCTGACAGCAGGGGTTTCAGGAAAGGGAGGTGGGCAGCAGCTCATAAAGTTCTTCAGCCAGCTCTGACCACTTCAGATGCCCACTGCCCATTTGCCAGGAAGATCTGACCATGATGGTCATTCGCTTCTTCAGCCCAAGTGCCTGCTTACTTCAGGCAGGGGACAAAAGTTTGCCAGACCAGTGCTTCCTCGAGGCTTCTCCGGGTTGAGGTTGTAATTGGGAATGTTATTGGGAGCCATCAAGTGGATTCAGACTGGTATCGACCCCTGTGACTGAGTCCTACTGTCCCAGAGGATTTTCTAGGCTGTCATCTTCCTGGTAGACTCCTGGTGTGGTGCTGTGGGTCAGCACTGGACTTCTAACCACAAAGGCTGCAGTTCAAACCCACCAGCTGCTCCTTGGAAACCTTATACAGGGTCGCTAAGAGTTTGAACCAACTCGACAGCACTTAACGACTTTCCAGAGCAGATCGCCGGGTCTCTCCGCCTTAAAGCTGAGGGGTGCGTTCAAACGGCCCAACTTTGGGTTAACTGCCCAGTGCTTAACCTTCACACCACCAGTGCTTCTGTGTCAGTGGAACTGAGACTGGATTTCCTTTCCGAGGCCTCCAGTGACCCTCAAAGCTGACTCATAGTGATCCTCTATAGGGATTCCAAGACTAAATCTTTATGGGAGCAGGCAGCCTCATCTTTCTCTTGAGGAGGTTCGAACCACCAACCGTGTGGTTAACAGTCTAGTGATTTACCCACATTGCCATCAGAGTTCCAAATTCAGGCCTCAGGATGCTTGGGAAACTGCTTCCGTCTTGGTGTTTGCTTCCAATTTATGCCAAAGTTAAACGTTTGTATTGGGTGTCACTTCCTCTTGAGTCCCACTGAACGAGCTCCTGCTTCAGTCAGGTGTCCGCGAAATAGCTAAACGAAATAACTACAAGCTATGAATCATAATAAGGAGCTCTGGTAGCGTAGTGGTTGCGAGTCAGGCTGCCAACCTCAAGGTCAGCAATTCGAAACTACCAGCAGTTCCATGGGAGAATAATGAGGCTTTCTGCTCCTGTAAAGACTTACAGCCTTGAAAACCCTGGGCAGGGTCACTATGAGTCGGAACCAACTCCACGGAACTTAACAACAACAATGAATCATAATGAAGAAAAACGTGGCATCAGGATTGAAAGAAGACTCATTAACCTGTAATATGCATATGATATAACCTTGCTTGCTGAAAGTGATGAGGACTTAAAACATTTACTGATGAAGAACAAAGAGCATAGCCTTCGGGATGGATTACATCTCAATATCAAGAAAACAAAAATCCTCACCACTACCCCAATAAGCATTCTTATCAATGGAGAAAAGATTGAAGTTGTCAAGGACTTCATTCTTTTTGAATCAACCATCAACACTCACGCAAGCAGCAGTCAAGAAATCAGATGAAGTATTGCATTAGGCAAATCTGCTGCACAAGACCTTTTTAAAGTGTTGAAGAGCAAAGATGTCAGCTTGAGGACTAAGGCGTGCCTGACCCAAGCCATTGTATTTTCAATAACCTCATATGGATGTGAAAGCTGGACAGTGAATAAGGAGGATCATAGAAGAATTGATGCCTTTGAGTTGTGGTGTTGGAGGAGAATACTAAAAGTGCCATGGACTGCCAAAAGAACCAATAGATCTGTTTTGGAAGAAGTGCAGCTAGAGTGCTCCTTGCAGGCCAGGATGGCCAAACTTCGTCTCTCATACTTTGGACATATTGTCAGAAGGGGCCATTTGCTGGAGAAGGATCTCATCATGTTTGGTAATGTGGAGGGTCAGAGAAAAAACAGGAAGACCCCCAACGAGATAGACTGGCCACGTGGCAGCACTGATGGATGGACTCAAGCATGGCAACAGTAGTGAGGTTGGCCCAGGATCGGGCAGTGTTTCGTTCTGTAGTGCATAGGGTCACGATGGGTCGGTACCGACTCGATGGCACCTAAGAAGAACAACAACATGAATCATAATAATAATGGACGGAAGCCTACCAACGGTCGTGATGACTGGGCAGCTTATTTAAATGTCTCAGAAGTGCGAGTCCGTACAGGTATCGTCACCTTGACGAAACGACCCAAGTGAGAGCCGCACTGCCGCTCCTTCGCTTCGCGGGCAGCAAGAGCGCGAGTGCGCGCGCGCCAGATAATGGCCCTAACACGCATGCGCGCCTTGGACCGGGAGGCGTGGTCGTGGGGCGGGGTTACGCCTGCGCGGACCACCTGCAATGGCGGCCCCCTGAGTTTCGCCGTGTGTGGGTCGGTTGGGACACCAGGCTGGGCCCGCTTACGGGTAAGCCTTCCCCAGTGGGCGGCGGTCAGGGGTGGCGTACAAATGATCTCCCAGCGCCGATCCTAGCTCTGAAATTGCCGCTTCCACGCACGTAAAACTGAAGGATCTAAGCCCTGTCCCCACTTGCTCCCTCAGTTTCCCCTTCTGGGCAAGGGTATTGTGGGAAGGACCTCCTTTGCGTGTCTGTGCAGAATCCAGGCGTTCCCCTCGATTGCGGATTCCAACGGGAAGACGGTGCCCGAGTGTGACCCCCTTGTGAGAGGACAGTAATTAACCCACAAGGGTGGGCTTCAAGGACGGCGAGCAGCGCCGGGGGACCAGGGACTCGGAGTCCCCTCCCACCGCGTGAACTGATCCAGGACCCAGTCTGGTGATTTCCAACTCAGGGAGACCTTACTGGACAGAGCAGCGTCATAGGGTTTCCAAAGCTGTAAATCTTGACGGAACCCTATTGGCACGTGTCTCTCCCCAAGACTGGCTGGTAGATTTGAACTGCCAACCTTCTGGTGAGCAGCCATGTGCTTTAACTACTGTGCCACCAGTACTCCTTATATTGTTGTAAAGTGCCGTCGAGTCGGTTCCGACCCATAGGGACCCTGGATAGAGTTTTCGAGGAGCGGCTGCTGAGCTTGAACCGCCAACCTTGCAGTTCAAGCAACTTTGCAGTCTGGCTCATTAACCCACAGAGCCACACCAGGACTCCAGGACTCCTTAGAGATACCATCAAAAAAGCAAACCACAGCCATGGACTTAATTGTGACTCTAAGGGACCCTGTGTAGGGTTTCTAAGGCTGTAAATCTTTCCAGGAGATAAAAACTTTGTCTTTTTTATTCAGAGCTTCTGGTGGATTCAAACTGCTGACCTTTCGGTTAGCAGCCCAACATACAGCCTACTCTGGCACCAGGCTCTTTAAGGTACTGTGTTGTTAAGTGCCATTGAGTTGATTCCAACCCATAGTGACCCTGTATAAGGGTTTCCAAGTGAGCTTGAACCACCGACTTTGCAGTTCAAACAACTTTGCAGTCTAATGCATTAGACCACAGCGCCACACCCGGACTCCTAAAACCAAACTAAAACTCTACTGCCATCAAGTCAGTTTCAACTTATAGTGACCCTGTATGGGGTTTCCAAGACTGTATGTTAGCAGTAGCAGAAAGCCTCATCTTTCCCTCAGGGTGTCTGGTGGATTTGAACTGCCAACCTTGTGGTTAGTTGTTGTGTGCCATCGAGTCAGTTCCGACACATAGCAACCCTGTACAAGGTTTCCAAGAAGCAGCTGGTGAGTTTGGACCACTGACCTTGCAGCTCAAATCAACCTTATCCTAGGGCGCCCTACCAGGACTCCTGTGGTTAGTAGTCTAGTGCTTATATTATAGTGCCACCATTGTTGTTGGCTGGCTGGCTGACTGTGCCGTGGAGTCGGTTCCAACTCATAGCAATCCTGTACAGGGTTTCCGAGGCTGTAAATCTTTACGGGAGCAGAAAGCCTCATCTTTCTCCCAAGTCGTTAACCACTTCGCTTCCAGAGCGCCTACCACTGTTGTTAAGTACCATCAAATCAGTTCTGATTCATAGCAACCCTGTATGAGGTTTCTGAGAAGCAGCTGGTAGGTTTGAACTTCCAACCTTTCGGGTAGTAGTGTAGTGCTTGTCCTACACTGGCCCACCTGCCTCGTTATTCCCAGCTCGCTGGTTCTGGGGAAAGTTCCTTCAAGCATTCCTGGGACCCCTAATTGCAGGATTCATTTATTGGGAAGCACAAGTGGTTGGAGTTTTTAAATGCAAAATTCAACTAGAAATTAAGAATCTGAGTTTAATTTTTGCCTACATTTAAGAATTTGTTATTCCCTTGCCAGTTTTTTTGATTTTCATAAACAAATATTCCAAAAAGCTACAAAGAAACAAAAGGGGACAGAAACATGAATTCATCAATATAAGTGGGAAACCAGGTCCCTTGCCATAAATAGGCGGTAACTATGAAAATGAATGTAATGCAGATGAAATGGAATTCCCTTCGAGCTGCATCCCTTTACCTTGCCAAGGCCCTCAGAGTATCTCTTTGAGGAAGAGTTGTGGTTGCTATACCACTTACCGCCTAAGAGTCCTGGCATGGTTCCAATAGCTAAGCACTCAGCTACTAACTGAAATGCTGGTAATGTGAGTGCATCCAGAGACACCTTGGAAGAAAGGTCTGGTTATCTCCTGCTGAAAGATCACACACAGGATCAACTAGATGGCAGCTGGTGTGGTTTTGGGGGGCCCTGTTTGCGCTGTGCCCTCTGTGACCTGCCGACTCCCCATCAGGTGCTTCTGCCCAGGATTTCTGTGGGTGCCAGGCCATGGTCCAGCCGGCTCCCTCCTCAGCCATGGACGAGATCACCTTCAAAAGTGACACTGTGCTGTCAGACGTCCACCTCTACACCCCGAATCAGAGACACCTCATGGTGCGGCTCAACGGCGTGGGGCAACCCGGTGAGACCTGGACGCCTGCGTCCCACTTCCTTTCTGTGTGCTGATGATGCTCTTGTTTCCGGGGAGACAACTAGGCAGCCCGCACTGTGTAGCTCTTCCTCTCACTCCGCTTGTTCGGTGCTCTTTTTTCATTGAGCAGCCGTGTGCTGACCTCAGGACTCGAACCTGAGAAGGCCGTAGTGGATGTAGCAGTTCCACCGGCGGGAGCCCACGAGGGGAGACCAGCATGAGGTGGACACCATCTGTCCCCTGCTCTTCATTCCCTCTGCCCGCCCTGCCGTCATGTCTCAAGGGAAAGATGAAGGAGCTCGGTGTCCAATGTGATGAGGCTGGATGTTCTTCTAAGAATAATGACAAGCCACTGGATGGTCAGGAGAATACAATGATTTTATTTGCATTTTTCCAAAGATCCCCTTGGGCTGAGGGGTAGGGTATTACAGGAAACAAGACAGCAAGTCCCTGTGGGAGGAGACTGGGACAGGGAGTTAGGCCAGGCAGGGGCAGGGTGGGCTAAAGGAGAAGCTGCTGAAGTCCACCCTCAAAGCTGAGAAGAATGTGTCCAGACACAGAAGGGAAGGAAAGGGACAGGCCTGCAGAAGGCCCGGAGGCAAGAGCTATAGGTAGGTCCCCGCTGCCGGACTCCGCCTGTGCTGTCTTACGTTTCTCTTGGAGAAGAGGGAGCTCCGGGTTGTGTAGGCAGGTGTGAAAGGAGCAGCAGACATCATCGGGAAGGGAGGGAAATGGCTGGTCTGGAAAGCCTATGGTGTAGTGTCAGATGCTGCCCAGTGGGCGCTGACTCAGCCCCCCACCCCACCCCACCCCCATGTACAACAACAGGATACTGCCCGGGCGTGTGCCAGCCTCTCAGTTGTGATCTTTGAACTCATTGCTGCTGCCACTGTGGCAGTCCGTCTCATTGGGGGTCTTCTCCAGGGACTGGTCCCTCCTGATGACATGTGCAAAGTACATGAGATGAAATTTCCCATCTTCATGCTGTTGTTGTTGTTAAGTGCTGTTGAGTCGGTTTTAATTCGTGGCGACCTTGTATAGGGTTTCCGCAGAGTGACTGGTGAGCTTGAACTGCGAACCTTGCAGTTCAAACCAACCTTGCAGTCCAGTGAATTAACCCCACAGTGCCTTACTCATTATCCCATCTTAGCTTCTGGATGAAGGAGCTCCTGGTGGTGCAGTGGTTAAGTGCTCCACTGCCAAATGAAAGATCAGGTGTTCAAACCCAACAGCCTCTCCACAGGGGAAAGAAGGAACCATCTGCTTCTGGGAAGATGACAGCCTTGGGAACCCCGTGGTCAGTCCTGCTCCATCCTAGGGGGTCACTGTGAGTCGGAAGAGACAGCAATGACTTAGTCTCTGGGTGGGATAACCCAGTGAAAGGTACTAGGTTCGTCGTTCTGCAAATGAGGAAACCGAGGCTCCAGGGTGGGCACTTCAGGTCCTCATACTGGTGGTTCTCCAGGCTTTCCAGGGGGGCTCAGGAGCAGAGCCAGCTGGGCTTGAACCCCACCAAAGCCTCAGCTACATACTGATTGACCTTGATCAGCTCTAACCTCCTAAGCCTCAATTTCCTCATCTGTAAAATGGAACAGATAATAATAACTGCCCTTGGAGCAGCTGAGAGAATTCAGTGAGTAGCATGGACCGAGTGCGGGCTACTCCTGTGGGCAGAGCTGAAGCAAACAGGCCTTCTCTGCCAGCATTTGTGTTCCCACCTGGCCTTTAAAACTCCTTAAAAATCCAGTTTTCTGAAAGAAGGGGAGAAAGAGAAAGAAGACCCTTTGGCGATGTCTCTATCCCACCCATTTTGTTTCTGTCTTCTTTTCAGTTTTCCTTTCCCAGTTCAAGCTTCTGTGGAGCCAGGAGTCTGGGGCTGAGGGCGGAGACCACAGAGACTCTCACACAGAGGAGACTTCCCCAACTGAGGCAAGCCCCCCAGAATCCCTTCCAGGGAGTGACCACAGCCCTGAAGGTTTCTCCCTCCAGACCTGCCAGGAGGGGGCAGGAGCCCAGCTGGACGAGGATGGAGACCTGAATGTAGTGAGAAGACCCCGGGCCACCTCTGACCCCGACCCGGCGAGGCCCTTGAGAGAGAAGGTGCACCCTGTGATTCTGTCCCAGGATGAGGGCGACATCCCAGAAGACAGAACGCAAACAGGCAGTCTCTACGGCATCATCAGAATAGGTAACAAGAGCCCGGCGCACCTGCAGCCCCCGGTGCCTATCAGGACGTGGTGGTCTCAGTGCTAGCTCTGTGTTCAGGCCCAGGCTGGGGGTTACAGGGAAAGTTGGGTCATCGGAACCAGCTCTGGTGAGACCAAACAAACAGGGCTGCTGTCCAAAGGGGGTACTTGCTTCCCAAACCCATGGTCAGGTCACTCTCCTGCTCAAGACTCCTCAGTGGCTCCCCATCACCCTTGGGGTTGAGACCCAATGACTCGGGTTGACTTAGAGGCCCTATGTGATAGGTCTCTGCACAGCTCTCCAGCCTCATCCCACTCCACCGCCTCCCTTCCCACTTTCACAGCTATGCTCCTTCCTGCCCGTGGGCTCTGATTGCTAGTCAGCTCACACCATGGCTACCGCCTCTCCCAGCATCAGTGTTTCAATCTGGACTTACAGGTAGACTAGTGGAAGCCTGGACTGGCAGTGGGAGCCCTTTGGGCTCTGTTTCCACATCTGTAGAATGGGTACAGCAGCCTCTCACTGTTGTACAGTGAGCCTGGCATGTAGTTACGTGGTCAGTAAAGGAGAGCTGCCTGCCGTCAGCTCTCACTCCTGCCTCCAAGCAGGAAGAAGGGGAGCCGTGCTGCTTCCTGCAGGTGTGGAGACTGAGTTAGCTGGGTAGGATTTGCTGTTTCTGAATCAGAGGGGGCAGCACATAGGTCTTCATCACTGTTGAACCCTAGGCTTATCTTTGACACCCTTGCGATGTCATGGTGTTGTTTGACCATAAAATGGCTTTCCATTGGAAAGGAGCTAGTCTTTGATATTGGCTAGGGGCATCCAGAAAGGGGCAACTCTGAGAAGTCCAGTGCCTCATGTCACCACCTAGCAGGGGGCTGTGCCTGGGCCCACCAGGTCTGCCTGATATCTGGACAGGGAGTTGGAACACCCTCTGAACAGCCAGCTGGGAAGGCAGGACTGAGGCTCCTGAAGCCACTCAAAGAAAACAGCGCTCTAGGAGGAGAGGTGCCCTGGCAGTGGGACCTTCAGAGGCTGAGGGCCAAGGACAGGGCCTGCCAGGAAGACTGCAGAGGTGATGATGGGCTGGGAGGCAGGCCGTCACCAGTGGGTGATGCAAAGCTGGGACGACAGATGGAGGCAGCTGACATGAGGGTCCTAGAAGGGCTGTGGAAGCGAGAACATCCGTGGGTTGTCTCAGGGACAACCTGTGTGTGGAGGAAGGAAGAGTGATGAAGATCAGAGACACATGGAGACAGCTCGTCCAGCGGGCTATTGGAACATGTGAGCGTCCGTCTCTATGACCCTGGGGTCAGAAGGACTGGGTGGTGCCCGGCTATCACTGCCAGCTGCTCTAAAGAATTGCTTTAGAAAGGCCTGGATAGGGTGGGAGAAAATGAATGTGCAACAAAACTCAACATCATAGAGAAGACCAGGCTTACTGATCTGATAGAGACCGATGAGCCCCCGAGACCATGAAAATGGCCCTTCGTCTCCCTTCAGGTCTGCATCTCAGCTCACCCCTGAGGCTCAGTGTTCAGTAAGGGGACCGATAGCACCAGACAGTTGTGCACACCTTAGAATCATCAGCCACTTGAGATGAAAAGGTCAGCAGTTCCCCCAGGACAGCGTTCAGAAGGGTAAGGAAGGAGGGATGGCAACAGCAGACACAGGGTGAAAGTGGGATGAGTGATGCCGTACTGACGACTGCAGTCAGTGAAAGGAAGCAAGGTGTGTGTGAACTGTTGAATGGGAAGCTGGCGATCTGCTCTGTAAGGCTTCACCCAGTTCACAAGAAGTTTAAAAGGACAGCCAGAGAGAAGACTTTGCCCTCCCCACACTTCTGCGTGCCACAAGGTCACTACCCTCCACTGTGGGAGGCATATGCCCAGGGCTGTGTAGGTCCCTCGTGATGCTTGTAGGTACTCTCCATTCTGCTGGAGAGGGCTGGAGGTGGGAGCAAGCAGCAGTCAAACAGCAGACACGAGCTCCGACACCAATGACCCGGGTCCCCTTCCCATGCCGACCACCTGCCCGCTCTGACCCCAGGCAGCCCACTTCTCCCTGTCAAGCCTTATGAACTTCATCTACAAAGTGCAAAGTCCCTGGGTAAGGCTGCTAACGGAAAGGTTGGTAGTTCAAGTCACCTAGAGGTACCTTGGAAGAAAGTCCTGGCAATCTAGTGCCCTAAAATCATCCAGTGAAAACCTATGGAGCCCAGTTCTCCTCTGACACACATGGGGTCGCCCGGTGTTGGAATTTCCCGGAGAGCAGCTAGCTTTTTGTTGACAAGAGGATGAGATAATAGTAGAATTTTTTTCCTGGATGGTCTTGAGAGTTAAATAAGATAGTGCTCAGCAAGCATTTAGCACAGGGCCTGGCACAGAGAAGGTGTCTAGTGAACGTTTAGTCAAGGAACTCCACCGGCGGCTGTGTTAGTGTAGCTGTTTCGACTCCACTTTCAAACCAAGTGGCCACAGCAATCTGAAGTCTTTTTGAATGACGGTTGTTTATTACAAGTCACGTCCACCCCACAGCATCAAATCCAACCAAGATGCTGGGGTCCGAAAACCAAACACACAGAACCAGTCACTGTCGTGGTGACCCCAGGTGGGTTAGAGTTGAAATACGCCCCACTGAGCTTTCAGTGGCTGAGTTTTCTAAAGTAGATTGCCAGGCCTCCAGCCTTTCCGTTAGCAGCTGAATGTGGTAACTGCTTACCGCCCCCCAGGCCCTCTCCCTGCGCCGTAAGTCTCCAGTTCCTTTTCTTCTCTCATTCACCCAGTTCCTGCTGCTGCTTTGTTGTGAGTGTGTGGGTTGATTTGTACAAATTCTCAAAGCATGGGACGCCCCCTACCGTGTGTGTATCTGTGTGTGTATGCGTGTGCCCACATGCTAGCTTTAATCTCAGCCTTTACCATCACATGAAAAATTCATTCTTTGGCTCCATCATCTCGTATTTCTGTTTTCTTTCCCTACCCCCTGTGTTTTATCCTCGGAAACACTGATGAATTACTCACCATACTGCTCTTTGGTTAAAGAAGGATATAAATTCAGATGTACGTAGTGACTCTCTAGTGTGGTTCTAAGTGTAGTTCAATATTTTGGAATGGACGCAGTGGTTGTAAGAGATAAGTATTGGACTGCGAACCACGAGGTCAGTGGCTTGAGCTCACTGCCATTCCACAGGAGAGAGATGAGACCTGCTGCTCCCACAAACATTTAAAGCCTCAGAAACTGTACACAGGGACGCTATGAGTCGGAACCAATTCGACAGCCTAGATATGTTGTCAGTGTGATCGTGTTAGTGAAGGTAAACAGTGTCATTTGATGTAAGCGCTCGTTTAGGTGTGGCTCCTGCCCTCTGATGACTCCAGTCCACTGCGACGGAGATCCCAGCTACCTGAGGGGAGACCACTGTGTCAGCCAGGATTCTCCAGGGTAACAGAACCAAAGAGTTTGTGGAAAAATGGAATAAAAAAAGGGGCGGATTTTTTCGTTTTGTTTTTGGAGTTGGCCCCCTTGCCATTGCGGCTTGAAAGTTTGGGGGTTTTTGGGGTTCCCAGAGGCATCTCAGAAGAAAGGTCTGGTGCAATCGACTTGCAAAAAGATCAACCGTTGAGAAACCCCATGGAGGGCAGTTCTCTGACACACAGGAGTCGAGTCAACGGCGGCTGGTTGTTGTACAAATACTAAGAGGTTTCTTTTAGGAAATAACGTGTGCAGTTGTGGGGCTGATGTGTCCAAGGTCTGTAGGGCAGGCGAGAAACTCAGGAGTTGCGCTGCAGTTGTAAAGCAGAATTTCTTCTTCAGGACACGTTGTTGCTCTTCAGGCCTTCAACTGATTGGGTAAGGCCCACCCACGTCTTGGAGGATGAGCTGCTTTACATTAGGCCTACTGACAGTAGGTGGTGATCCCACCTCCACCGTCACCTTCACAGCAGCACCTAGACAAGGGGTTGATTCAATAACTGGCCAGACTGACACCAAGGTCGTCACAGCCACTGGGCTGGCCCAGGAGTGGTGCTCAAAGCCCCCTCCCAGCCGTACAGGGGCACAGCCTGTTTCTCTGCTGCTTCTTGGAACGCTTAACTGCACACCCCCCCATAGACTGTGTTTGTAGATTGCAGTGAGCCCCTGTCTGTTTATCTGTCCGCCTTGTTTTCACAGTGGGCGTTTTTCTCTTGGTCCAGAACACACCATGGCCACCCCCCTGGAGGACGTTGGCAAGCAGGTGGGTAGATCCCATGCACTGCCCTGGGCTCTGAAAGATCCCTCCGGGGACCTCACGCTACCTGTCTCTGCAGGTGTGGCGGGGCGCTCTGCTCTTGGTAGACTACATCCTGTTCCAACGGGATTTCCTCCAGGGACGCACCGTGTTGGAGCTCGGGGCAGGCACTGGGCTCGCCAGCATCGTCGCAGCCACCATGGCCCAGACCGTGTACTGTACAGGTGAGGACCTAACACAAAGGTCTGTTCGCCGGGCTGCTCCCCTTTGGTCATTTTCTCAGTGTGACCAGAGTGACCCAGTGGCACCACATCAGTAAAGGGGACATCACCCAACAGATAGAAGGTTGTTTATGCTTCCAAGGATCTGGGCCCTGTAGCTCAGGAAACCATGAGAGAGAGGCCCTTTATATGGCTTCAGAGAGGTCCTGTGTTGGAGGCTCAAGTCCTCTCAGAAACACCACGGAATAGAAGTCTGGCAATCTCCTTCCCAAAATCAGCCAGTTAGATGGTACAGATGTGCCACTGCTGAGTGAAAGCTTAGCGAACTGAGGCCACACAGGCACCTCAGAGAAGACAGGAGCGTAGCTCTATTCAGACATGACTTGGAATCAACATGACAGCAGTTGGATAAGCCTGTAAAAACAGGTTTAGGGTGCTCCCCTTGCAATGATAAACGTTTTCCCTACTCTCCGCGGAAATTTTGTAAAGTAGCAAATAAACATCACTCCATTTGCAACTCCCCTGATCCTTTTAACCATACGCAGTTTACTGAGCACCTTCTCGTACTGGGCAGTGCTGGTGGTGCTGTAGAATACAAACTGGACTGCAACCCACAAGGTCAGCAGTTCGAGCCCACCAGCCTCTCTGAGGGAAAAAGATGAGGCTTTCTGATTTACAGCCTCAGAAACTACACAGGATCACTATGAGTTAGAATCGGCTCCACAGTACCTATCAGCAGCAATAGCGTGCCAGATTCGATTCTAGACACGGAATCCAGCAGCGAATAGGACAGATCAAGGTGCTGTCTCAGGAAGCTGGCATTCGAGAGTCTGTGTGGGAGCTCACTTTCCTTTATTGTGTGTAGACACCCAGGTGATAGCTGAAATTAGACTACGTATCTACAACGTGCTGTAACCAGCCTTTAAAAGCTGTTTACCATGAACATGTTCCCATGTCAGAAAAAAAAAACGTTTTATTTTGTACGTTGGTCAGTATGCTCTTTGTTGTGTGTTGACCCTCAGAAGTGGGTGTGCCCGTAAGCTTTGGATGCTTTTTTAATCATTTAAGTTATTAGGCTCACGTGGTGGTGTGAAGTTCCATCAAGTCAATTTAAGCTCAGGGTCCCGCCAGGGATTTTAGGCTGTAATCTTTTTTTTTTTTTCCTAAAGTTTTTTATTGTGAATTGAGTGAAAGTTTACAGGGCAGATCATCAGTTTTACATTCAACAAATCATACACTTTGTTTCTTTACAATGATTATAATCCCTTCCATGTACCATGATTTAACAATATTTCTATTCATTTAGCTTTTTTTTAAAACACTCAGGCACATATAATAATTTACACCACCAAAGGGCACATTCTGCAAGTCTGCCTCCTTCCAGCACACAGCCTTTCTCTCTCCATGAATCTAGAGCCCTCAGCTGCTCTCTCTCTCCATGTCCTCATCTCTGCCTCCATCTCTGGTGTCGCTGCTTCTCTGGATAGGGTCCCGCATTCCACTTGTGTTCTTCTCCCTTGATGGTCTTAGGGTCCTCTGTTTCTGGACTGTCCAATTAACGACTCCCCCATTGTTGTTATAAAACTTCTGTTTAGGCTATAATCTTTAAGGGGGCACATGACTCCCAGAGCCGTTGGGTGGGTTCAGACCTCCAGCCTTTCAGTTAGCAGCCAAGTACTTAACCACTGAGCCACCAAGGCTCCTTAGGGTCACATGAAAAAAACACCTCCACTGCTGTTCAGTCAGTTCTGACTCCTAGTGACCCCATGTGACAGAGTGACTGTCACCTCTAGAGGAACAAATGCCAGGTCTGCCCTGTTTTATGAGAGGCTGCACGAGAGGCTGTATGAGAGGCTGTATGAGGCGTTGTACCAGAGGCTGCACAAGAGGCTGCCTGTAGGGATCAGTCCAGCAGGAGAGTTTCACCATATAGGGGTTTCCAACCATGCTCCCTGGTTCAGAGTTCACAAACTCCCTCTGGGGCTAGCCTAGGGATAAAGGGGACCTCCTCTAGGACCCCTGACCGTATCCCGCCAGCTCTCTCTCACCTGTCCCATATACCTGCATCCCACGGAAGATCTCTTTTGACAAAAGTGTTCATGTGCCTCCTCTCCCAGTGCCTTGGGGAATGGACACGCAGGGTCATTACCTTCTGGCCCAGCACAAACAGGGTCTCCCAGGTGGACATAAAGGAGAGGCAGAGCACTGCTTCCCCCAGGGAGGACCCACCTTACCACATGCGGGTTCTGTTGAAATGCTGTTAGAGTAACAGAGGCTCTGAGGGGAGGGAAGCAGACAGTCAGAACTCTGGTAAGAGCTATGGAATCTGCTCTGAGTCAAGGCAGTTTAATCACCCCAAACACCCTCCTAGCTCTGATTTCTAGAATACCAAAGAATGAGTGAAGATTTGGAGTCAGAAACTCCTGGGTTTAGGTCCCTGAAACTCACACTGCTCCTAGTTGGGGGCTTTGTTTGGTGGCTGTGCTTGTGCAGTGAAACCCGGGACACTGGCCCATAGGGTCATCTGAAGCCTTGAAGGGAAATGCTTTCTGTATGCTGTAGGATCAGATCAGCACTAGACTGCAAACCACCAGGTTGGCAGTTCAAACCCACCAGCTGATCCTCAGAAACTCCAGACAGGGTTGCTAAGATTCGAAACCGACTCAACAGCACTTAACAACACAACAACGCTCCCCAGAAAAAGTGATGTAACAGCATCCCATCTCTGAAAACATACTGCTTCTGCCCCACCTGGATGATCAGCTCCTGTTTGGGGGAATTTGGAAAGGCGCTAAAAGATCCGGGAGAGGGTCTGCCCTTCTCGATCTTACCGCTTCCCTTCTGTGCCGCCCACTCTTTCCGGAGAGACCCCTGGTGAAGGTCACGCTGTCTCTCCGGCCTGTGCTCTCTGACCTGCCCTTCTGTACTTCCAGATGTTGGGGCTGACCTCTTGGCCATGTGCCAGCAAAACATCACCCTCAACAGCCACCTGACTGCCGCTGGAGGTGAGGCCCAGCAGGTGTCCACCTGGGGGCAGGGGGGACAGGTGGGGAGCTGGGGACCGCCTCTCCTGACACCCAGGTGATGGAAGAGTGGGCATTGTCCTGACCTTCATGTGGCTTCAGGTTACAGGCAGTGCTGTAATGGGTCATCAGAGGGAGGCTGAAAGGAGGGGAGAGAATGAGTGGGTGGCTCCCCGGGGGGGGGGGGCCACCTGCACAAATCTGCCTCTTTCCTAACTGTGTGTCTGCCTTTGTTCTCATACAGGTGGCTCAGTCAAGGTTAGAGAACTGGACTGGCGGGAAGAGGACCTATGCACAGGTGGGTGTTTCCTGAGACTCCCCATTCGATTCTGCTCTGCTGCAGGCCCACCAACTCCCACGAACTCCTTTCAGGGCGTTCCAGCTACAGCCAGGCCCCTGATGTGCCTGTATTCACTTGGTCTTCACAGTCCCACCACATTGACGTGACCATCCCCGGGTGATGAGGGAAGACTGATGCTCAGAGAGGTTAAGCGACCTGTCCAGGGTCACACAGCTAGTAACCTACAGTGTCAGCATTTGAACCCAAGCCTGTTGGTCTCTGGGGCATAGAGCATTTCCACAGCCAAAAGTGGTGCCCTGAGAGTCCCTCCTTGTTCCAGACCAGGAAGCCACCTCGTGTGTGGCGGTCCACCCCAGGCCTCAGCATGAATCAAGACAGCTTGGCCTCAGGGCAAGCTGGGTGGATGCGGTTTCTAAGTGGCTCACACAGGTGGTCCTGCCAGCTTATTGCTTTTTCATCATCCATGAAGGTTCAGTTCCTTTCAGATGTCAGACTGAGGGGTGGGGAAAGCTGTTACTGTGAAGTGCCCGGCACTTACATATGTACATGTATGTAAATGCACGCACAGGTCTGAGCTCTGCCCTCCCCTCCACCCCAGTCGTGTACTATTGTGAAGAAGAGTCTATGGAGCTGTTAGTACTGTACAGATCACTTACTCACAGTTGCCATCACATTTAGAAAGAGTCCTTTGGACACCCCCAGCAGTCCTAAGAAGGAACTATGACTATGAGCCCCATTCTATAGGAGTCCTGGTGTGGTGGTGTGGGTTAAAACACTGGACTGCAAGGTCGGGTTGATTCACAAGACCGGCAGTTCATATTCACCAGCTGCTCCTTGAAAACCTTATCCGGGGTTGCTCTGAATTAGAACCAACTCTAAGGCACTTAACAACATAGGAGCCCTGGTGGCACGACAGTTAAGGACTTGACTGCTAAACAGAAGGTCAGCAGTTCAAACCCGCTCAGGGGCTCTGTGGCTCTGTGGGAGAAAGAAGGATTCAGTAGTCATGGAAACCCGATGGGACAGCTCTACCCTGCCCTGTAGGGTCACTCTGAGTCAGAATTGACTCCCTGGCAGTGGTTTGGGGGATTTGGATTCCAGATGAGAAGACTGAAGCCCAGAGAGGGTAAGCGGCTTTCTTGGTCACACACCAGTCAGCCAACAGGACCGAGGGCTGCGGTGCTATCCCTTTCCACAGGGCTGCTTCCCATGCAGCTGGACAGGCTGCAATCCGGCCGTTCTCGTTGGCTGGTTCAGACTCCGTGTGGGAAGGGCACCTGAGACAAGTGACTGTCTGGTGGTGCCCCGCTGCCCCCGATTCTTCACGGTCAGTCTCGGCCAGAGCTTCTAGCAGCAGAGACAGGAGTGAGCCTAAGACACCTTGTCCTTCTTCCACAGATCCTGCAGTCCCCTTCTCCTGGTCACAAGAGGACATCTCTGACCTGTACAACCACACCACTGTACTGCTTGCAGCAGAAGGTAAGCTTTGTTCTCCTTAGGTTCAAAGCCACAGTGTCCCCTTCGGAATTCTGAGAAGAGTCTTTCCAGAACATTCTGTCACATCTACCTGTCGCCTTTCTGTGTTGTTAGGACGTCCACGTGGGTCCCATGAGAACTGCTTCTCTGTAAGATTTTCACGTTTTACCTAACTCATACCTTTTCTCTGCCCTGCAGTGTTTTACGATGATGACCTAACAGACGCCCTGTTTCAGACTCTCTTCCGACTCACTCAGAAACTGGAGAATGCCAGTACAGTCATCTTGTCGGTGGAGAAGAGGTGAGCTCCACACCGCCAGGGCCGCGCTGGCCGCACCTCAGCCAGACCCTCAGCTTCCTAATGAGCTCTCCCTGATGCCTGCTGTGCACCAGGCCATGTGCGGGTCCTGTCCATACACGAGCCCTCTTAGGCCTCATACAAACCCCGTGCTGTGGTTAGACACCCTCGTCCCCGGTTCACAGATGAAGGGAGGAAAGCTGAGACTCCTGGAGCTTGTTGAAGCGGCAGCAGGTGTGTGAGTAGACTAGCAATCAGACGTAGCACACAGAACATTCCATCACCACACCGTCTCCTCCTCTTTCTCTGAACGTTCTAAGACACCATCTGTCTCTTCAGCACCCCAGGCTCCTGTTCTGTCCAGACAGCACCCTGTCAGCCAACCACCCACCTCCGGAAGTGCCGGCCTCCCGTCTAATGAGTGTCCACACCGTGATACACAGGCAGATTCAGACAGTGCGCACACATTTTTCTCTCTAATTTACAAACCTTTGTGAGAGGCAGTCTGGAACAAGTAGTGCAAACCATAAAGCACCCTACTGACCCAGCACTTCCCTCTCTAGATGGTCACCCCATGGGAGCAATCCTAGTGCAGACAAAGCCATTCCGACTTGTGTGGTCTTTGCAGTGTGGTTTATACGGACACTGATGAGGAATGTCTGGACCTCAGGTAGATCGGAGTCTGTAAGATAGTCACCCTGGGAGACAGTCCTGGTGCAGACAAAGCCAGTCGTACTTGCACACTCGTTGCAGTGTTATTTCTATGGATAATGTCTGGACCTCATGATCCTGATTGTGCCAACTATGAAGGGAAAATACAGAGACACTCAGGAACAGTGGAACCCTGAGTGGAGATTTATAAGACGGAATTATGGGTAAATTGGCGTGAGTGGTGTACCGGTGTTGCAGTTTTGTTTGTTTTTTACGCCTTTATCTTTACGAGCTCTATACTGACGTTGACAGAGGACATGCTCTACTGTCCAGGGGTGGTGGGTGTGTGTCAGTGAGAGCCTGCATGGCATCATTGTGTCCATGAGCTGACAGTAGTCGAAGCTGGCTGGTGGCTTCGTGGTGGTTCAGTATACTGCTTTCGATCCTTTTGTACGTGTGGACTCTTTCATAATAAAAGATTTTTTGAAAGAAAAGTGGGCCAAGGCAAGAGTTTGAGTCTCAAGTTAGGTAGTCTTGTAGAGACGGTTGTAGAGAGAGTCTGTTGAGAGGTGAGAATGGCAGGGTTGGGAATGATCTAAAAACTTGGTTCCCGATTCAGCGTCTTTCTGGAATCTCCCCGTCCCCCAGTTCTTTGCTCTGTGTTGTCAGCACCTCTGCCACCACCTGGTATTCCTTCTGCCCTCAGGTGGACACGGGATGGACAGTCCACACCACATCCCATGCTGGGTGCAGGCAGAGGGTACACAGGCCCCCAGAGAACCCCTCACGGTCAGCCTCTCGCACCCACTTGTGGCTCCTTGGAAGCAGGGATTGTGTCTTTGTCTTTGTAGTGGTGGTGTTCTGGGCATGGACTACACTTTCCTGAACCTCAGTTTCCACATCTATAACGTGGGGGTGCCGGCCCTCCCACCTCCCAGGCAGGAGATGGGTGCAGACACTTAGCGCATAGCAGGCCCTCCTCTAAGCCCTACTGGTGTGAAGTGAGGGCCGTGGGGGCAGGAGGACAAGTTGTGAGGAGAAGATAGACCGTGTGCCGCTGGCTGCTTGGTTTCCAGGCTGAACTTTACGCTGAGACACTTGGACGTGACGTGCGAGGCCTACGATCACTTCCGTGCCTCCCTGCACGCCCTGGAGAAGCGGACCCCTGGCAAAGTGCGGTTCCAGGTGCAGCCGGTGGAAGCTTCCTTCCCACAGAACCTCGCCTACGAGCGCATCCCACAGCTGGTAGGTGTGGCCTGCAGCCTGGCAGGTTGACCTGGGGCAGAGGAGACGCTTTGTTGTTGTTGTTGTTGTTGTAGTAAGGTGTCCCACAGCCGGCTCTCCCTTGGTGTCCCTACACATACAACAGTAGGAAACACCGCCCAGTCCCCTGTCATCCTCACGTCATAGCTATGTGTGAACCCATAGCTGCAGCCACTGCCTCAGTCCATCAGTGAAATGCACCCCAACACTGTCGGTGTGGTGACTCCCAAATGACCCCACGCTGACACGCACCGGGTGGCATGAACGCTGGTGACATCACTACAACCCACCCAGGGGTATCTCCCTGAACCTGCAAAGCGGAGGAGGCAGGGCAGCTTGCTGCCTTCTCTTGGCCCCTTGGTTTGTGACCCTCAACCACTCTGTGGTCACCGGGATTGACCCCCACAGTGTGTCCCCCATGAAGAAGCAGGAGGAGGAGATGGAGGCATTCCTGTTCCTGCCCTGGGGGGTGTGGTGCCCTGTGTACACTCCATGCCGGTTGGCCTCCCAGCTCATTCCCGTGCATCCAGCTCTTACTGTAAACCCTTATCCTTGTGTCTCAGGAGCTCTGGCGGATCCTGGCGGAGCCCGTGCCATGAGCAGGACACCCGAGGAGGCCTAGCCATGCGGGAAGTGGCCCTTCTCATTGTCATATGTTTGTAATAAATTCACACGCTCACCAAAGCAACTTGCTGGAGATGTGATCATTTGAATGAAAGGTGAATGGGCCCTAACTGACCCGAGAGGGCTCTTTAGGGTTGGTAATGCTTCCCTCAGCAGGAATGCTGGTGCTGGCCCCACTCGGGACGCGACACCCGAGTGGGATGTCGCTTGTGGTGGTGTTTGTTTGACTGGTCTCAGATTTTTTTTTAGTGATTTTTATTGATTACATTTCATTTGTTTTTATTCCTTTTTTGAACTTTTGTTTGTGCTGGATGCATATATCACAGTGTACCTGGTATTGGAACCATTTTCAGTGTACCATGAAATGTACTTGAGTGTCGTGAGTTATACGCACCCTTGCTTGGGACCCACGACCACTGTCTATTTCCAGGTGTTTTCATCACCGCCAACAGAAACGCTGCCCTGCCCCAGGGACCCGCCAGTCACCGTTGCCTCTGGTTGGATATCTAAGAGGGGCCATCCATGTCCGGCTATACCCACTGAGCGTGTTCTTAGGGTGCAGTGTGCCTTCACCTGTACCGGGACTCTAGTGCTCGGGACGATGTTGTGGCATCGAGTTGGTTCTGGCTCATAACGACCCTGTCCAGGGTTTCTGAGGAGCGGCTGGTGGTTTTGCGCCGCCAACCTTGTGATCCCACAGCCCATTTTGTATGAACGTCCCACATTCTGTGTATTTCTGTGGTTTTCATGCTCCAGCCATGAGTCTGAGTCACTTGGGCACACCAGTTCCTGAGGAGGGTGTGGGACTGAAGGCAGACATACAGCAGTAACACCCCACCCAGAGGCCCCACTACCCAAGCTCACGACTCGTTTGTCCCCAGCTCCCACACCGTGCACAAAAGGCTGCCGCCGCTGATACCCAGAACACAGGGACACTATGAGTCAGAATCAACTCAGGGGCCGTGGGTCTAGTTTTGGAGTATATGCTGGACTCGGAGACAGCCCTGACTTCAAACGCTTCCTTTCTGCCCCCATTCCTATACTTGTTCTGATCAGACCCATGAGATATTTCAGGATATACGATTTGGGTATTGATAAGAAGAAGTCCTCACAATTGTTGCCACGCTGAGGATGGCGCAGGACCGGACAGTGTTCCATTCTGTTGTACATAGGGTCGTTAGGTGTCAGTACCGATTCAGTGGCACCTAACAACAACAAGGAAGAAGTCCTAGTGTGGTACTATAGAATCAGCGCTGGACTACTGACCACGTGGTTAGAGATTCAAACCCACCAGCTACTCCTTAGACGCTGACATGATAGCACCTGACAACAGCAATCGATAGGAAAGTACCAATGGAATGAATGGCAAGTGTGTAAGAAGTTAGGGGAGAAAAACAATGCCACCATCCGTGATGACAGGTGAGAGAGTGCAACGTCCAAATACTTTCATAAAGCACTCAGACTCTACCGCTGGATAGGCGCTCGGTGGAAGTGGGTAATCAGTTGGCTTCCAGAGGGAGGACTTGGTGATTTTTTTTCTTTTTAATGTTTTATTGTGAATTATGTGATAGTTTATATGGGAGAATATTAGTTTTACATTCATCCTATTATATATCGTTTCATTGCCATGCTTACAATCCCCTCCATGCATCATCAACCAACCAAAGGGTATACACTGTAAGTCTGCCCCCCTGTCATCAGCACACAGCCCCTCTCCCTCTCTGTGTCCAAGGACGTGTTGATTTTAAGCTGGAGAGTTGTCATGGCTAAAGTCCTCCTCGATACTCAGGATGCCATGTGCAGTTAACAATTGATCAACTACTGTTGCAGTCAACGGCCCTCAAGTGGGTCCCGACTCATAGCAACCCTGCATCGGATTTCCAAGGAACAGCAGATGAGTTTGAACCACTGACCTTGTGGCTCAAATTGACCTTGTGGTCGAGGGTTTATCGTAAGGCACCACACCAGAACTCCATGATGAACTGGTTGGTGGTGATGGTTATGTGCCGTGGAGTCAGTTCTAACTCACAGCGGCGCTGTACGGGGTTTCCGAGGCTGTAAATCTTTACAGGAGCAGAAAGCCTCATCTTTCTCCCACGAAACAGTTGGTAGTTTCAAACTGCTGACCTTGTGGTTTACAGTCCGATTCGTAACCACTACACTACCAGAAGACATTAAACAGGCAGGCAGACCTCAGAGGGACCCACCACCACCAGGAAAGAAGCCAGGAGTGGGGTGTCCTGTGGACCTGGGTCCCGCACTGGGAAGCTCCTAGATCCAGAGGAAGACAGAAGCCAAGATGCACAGAGATCTGCAAGGAATGCTGGGGGAGACCTGGCCCTTTCCCCAGGCCGACACTCTGGATTTGGACTTGGCGCCTCCGTTTCTGTTGGTGAAAGCCGCACCCCTGTGTTCTCTCTGTTACAGCAGCGCTGGCCTTCCTGAGCGTCATACCTTGAGTTGTGTGGGGGCCGTGGAAGAGGAGGGGACTGAAGGTGACTCTACTGTGACATATACAGTGGTCCCCCAAACGGGGTGAGTTATGATACTGGTGATACTTAAAAGTTTCAAGTATACATTTTAAAAAGTTTACCCTTTGCACAGACATGCTGATACTGCGTGGTCCATGCCTTAGTTCTCCAATGCTGTTGTTAACAGAAATACCACCAGGGATGGCTTTATCAGGGCTGGGGAACCCTTTTTCTGCCAAATTTATAACATCATTCACAGGCCATACAAAATTATCAACTTAAAAATCAGCCTGCTGTATTTGGTAAAACATATAATTAACTCACCCTTAAAGTCCTGGTGTGACGCTGTGGGTTAATGCGCCAGACTGCAAAGC